AATCAAGAAAGGAAATAGAGAATAAATAGGGTGTGGGTGGGTGTGGGTGTGGGGTGTGGGCGTGGGTGGGTGTGGGTTGGAGGGTGTGGTGTGGGTGTGGCTGGGTGTGGGGTGTGAGTGTGGGTGTGGGGTGGGGGTGTGGGTGTGGGTGTGGGTGGGTATGGGTGTGGGTATGAGTGTGGGTGTGGGTGTGTGGATGCGTGTGGGTGTCTCATTTACTTATCCAATCAACATCCACATCCACACCCGCGCCCACCCCCACTCACATCCACACCCACCCACACCCACACCCACCCACACCCACACCCCACACCCACACCCACACCCACCCTCTATTCTCTATATCAAAATCTGTGATTACAGAGAAAAGAACTAGTATATCAGAAGAAAAACTTGATCGTTTACTATTTCTAAAACGAAATCTCAACATGCTCAAGAATATGAGCGACAAATATTCACATGAAGATGAATCACATCGGATCAAACGTAAAGAAAATGAACAAGCAAGTGAATTAATTAATAATAATTCAAAAAAAGCAAAAACAAACGAAATTGATGTAAACATCAATGATGAAGAAAACGATTTTCTGGACTGATTTGTTTTGTTTTAAAGACATAGTAGCATATGGATAAATTTTCTTTCAAATGTAATTGTAAAAAAAAAAATATTTTTTTTATTGTTTTCTTTTTGTGATTATCATATTTTCTATTTATTGTGATATTTATGTTTTTTCATTATCATGATGTTCATGATTAGCTATTTTGTTTCAGAAAAAAGTATATAAATTATCGAAATAAGTAAAGAATATAAGATTCTTTCTTTTTTTGAGGGGGCTTCATTTAGTTAACATAAATTATAGGATTAAGGACAGTTTTAGTAACCGTGACTATCCGTGACTAGCTTTAAGTCACGGTCACGATAACGGTCACGGTGTTTCCAAGAAAATCAGTCATGGTCATGGCCGTGACCGTGACTATCGTGACTCACGGCGGTCACGCCGGGGTCTAGTTATAACACCTAAACAATGGAACGAATTCATCTCATCTCCTCATTTTCATTATTTAGCACAAACAGGTGTATCGCTTGAATATCAAGGTCTAGGTATTGCAAGTAGTTTAATCACACTTGCTAAAAGCCATAGTATTGATGGTTTATGTACAAACATCACTTATTGGCCTTATAACAATATTGCATCTGAAGAATGTAAAAGAAAAAATGGATTTGAATGTATTGGTATTTGGCATCAAACTATCTGTGAACATTTTGTACCATTCAAAGCTAAAATATTTATTTGGCGACCGATCAAGTCTGACCTGAGTTGAAACTGATTGTCTTTTCTGCACCCTCATTCGTTCATTCACATACCAATCACAAAAGTTTTGTTTGGTTTGTTTTTTTGTCAAGACATTGCGTAAATGTTGAGCAATAACATACACAGTTTTACTATAAAATAACGAGAAATTGTTGTGAAAAAGAGAGAAAACGTTTTGTATATATTGTGCAAATTGTAAAAGATGAATCGTCATCAATTTTTGGGAAGTACAGATTTAGGTATTTCCAGTTCATTATTGATCAATTATAATGTACCAACAAAAATTCCTGATGGAATCAAATTGAATCGAATCAAACATCAAAATGATCTGATCCTAATCGAATTGGGTACTTTACTGACTTCAGATGAATGCGATGAAATTCTCAGTAATATTCGACAACAAACATTTGAACAGATGTCCAAGAAATATGATGTTCGAAAACGAAATAGTTCTCGATTAGTAATCATGGATGATCGATTAGGTCGAACATTATGGCGACGTTTAAAATTCAGTAATAAATTAACAAAGTTAGTTCGTCATGCACAACCGTTAGGATTCAATGTTCAAGGTCAATGGACAATGAGTGGAGTTAACCCGGCTATGCGATTGAATAAATATAATCATGGAGATTATTTCGGTCTACATAAAGATGCTCAATATGCTCCTAGTGGTGATGAACGATCATTATTGAGTTTATTGATTTATTTGAATGATAATTATGAAAAAGGTGAAACAAAATTTTACTTTCCTAAACAATCAGCGAAATCCGATGTGAAAGGATTGACCATTGCAGAAGAAATCGAAGCTTATGGTGGACTAGAAAATGGTTTTGAATGTATTACATTAAAACCAAAGAAAGGTTTTGCTGTTCTATTTACACATAATCTCTTACATGAAGCAACACCACCAGAAATACTGAATCCGCTTGTTCAAACTGAACGTCTAGTACTGCGAACCGACGTACTAGTGAAAAGAAAAGAGAAACCATTGGGATTTGCCATATGTCCAGAAGAGAAAGAAGATTATCTTGCTTGTTTGAATTTTTTTCGTGAAGCTCAACAGAATGAAGTTGAAAGTTACAACGATTCTGACATGGCTGTCGATAAAACAGTGAAAACAGGAGAACTCTATGAACGTTCATTATCAATTCGATATTGTTATCCACGTTTACTTGAATCCAAATTGAAACAATCAGCCGTGAATAAAGTCGAAGAAAAATCACTCATTCATCAGCTACCATCTGAACTTTGGCTTCATATATTCAAACATTTGCATGAACAAGATATTCAACATTTAATCTTTGCCTTTCCACAGTTTCAAATGTTGAAAATTGTTTGGGATGCACAAGAAACAAAAGCTTTTATCGCTGATCCAGCTCGACCGAAATTTATTCCAACCATTCAAACTCAATACGGAAGTCAAACTTTATTTCGTTTTTCTAATTCAGATTTTTTCTATCAACATATCGATGGATGCTGTCGAGTAGCGGCTGTTTATGCTTTCTTTCTACTAGGACATGGAAAAGGTTCAACGATGTACATCGTTCGATACGATCGAAATACTCAAGAAGTATGCGAAGTACACATGGAAAGAGTCTTGGCCGATGCATTCTACAATCGAAATTGCTATGGTTCTTTATATCGAGTGGAACAAAAAGAGAAAGAAAGACGTCAGCCAAAAGTTGATTTTGATCATAGTGTTGATCGGACATATTTAACAAATCGACATCAATCACAATTTATTGGACAAGATCTTTTATCATGCATTCATCTAACGATAGATGATTCCGATTCATTGGATTTGGAAGCAAGCGATGATGAAAATCGATCATATAGATCAAGACTGCTATATGATCAACGTCAGCATGCTTGGGCTACCGACAGGAATTATCTAGTTAATCAAGATTTTAGATCACAAGATTTCGATCATGTAAAAGATACGGCATTAAGTTATAGGGAACATTTACTCAAACAGACTGAACAAGACTCAGGAACAAGTCTATTTCGAATGATATCTTCCAAAGATCCTTTCATGGAACCAGCTTGTCATTGTGGAATGGGTGGCAGCTATCGATTCGAAAGAGTTCGAGGTTTGTTACGCTTCTACAATCATCTTATTTTCGATTTTGATACACATCAATTGACTGTTGAACAATTGTCAAATAAAGCATTATCTGATTCTGTGTTGTACGATTATACTTACATATTAAAAGATTTAGTTCCGAAAGACAGTCCAATTTCGTTTTATCGTGTGAATATTGAACAGTTGGCGAAGAAAACAAAAGGTTTCAATCATGCATCGTGTCAATGTAATTACCCTCATGTAAAAGTTGATCAATTTTCATTTCTTGATTACACACAATTGTCATATGTTAATTTAGCTGTTACTAAACGCAGTGACGACGTCTTTGTTTTAGCTACATATGGTGGAATTGCTGCTTTCTAACTTGTACTATTGAATGATACTTTTTTGTATTGAACACTAATTAGTAAATAAACGTACGCTTCATTCTATGAGTGTTTGTCTGAGCCTAGGTCCTTTATCATGTGAGTTTATTGATTTTCATGCAATGAGTTATAGTATCAGTTGGTATTTTTACGCCAGCGTCACATCCCTTAAGAGGAAAAGAAAGTGGAGAAAAAAAAGTGTTTTATCTCGTAGCTATGGGAAGACAATTAGACAATTCGTGAATAGCTCTTGAGGTTCAACTTTTGTATAGTTATCTCAATAATCCTAATTCTTTTACTAGTTATTTTTAGACAATATTCATTTTTATATCGCCAAAGAAAAACATCATCGATACACAAGAATATTTATAGTGGTCGCTCACCACCAAAATATTTGAGCTGACAATAAGAATCCTTATCGCATTTCGACTATTGATTAGATAGTCATCAACATCATCAGGTATGTTCTGAATTTTAATGCTACATGATTATATAAAACAATCAAAAACAATGAAGGACAGTTCAGTCAACATGGACACAATGATTAAATAGGTCAATTGTTCGATATATATATTGTAGTAGCCAAACTTTCTGAGACTGGGTGAGAAGCAATGACAATATAACTAGGGTGCGGGTGTGGGGTGTGGATGTGGGTATGGGTGTGGGGTTGAATCTTCTTGTCCTGCATCGACACCCGCACCTACTCCTACCCCACACAGCCACGCCCACGCCCACACCTACGTCCACCCACACACCACCCACCAAACTCCACACTCACACCCACCCACACCCCACACCTACACCCACACCCACACCCACACCCACACCCTCAGCCACACCCACACCCACACCCACATCCACACCCACATCCACACTCATCTACACCCACACCCACGCCCACACCCATACATCCACCCCCACCTCCACCCCCACACCCCACACCCCACCCCCACATCCACACCTACATTCACACCCACACCCCACACCCACAATCACACCCACCCACACCCACACCCTCATTGTGATCTTTGACCAATTGAGAAAATATGAGACTAGCCGAGGTGTGATCTGCTACAAAGACCATTATATACACATAATTTGACTACGCATGCACATAACACATGAATCCTGAAAATGATTGAAGCTTTATTGTCCTTCCCAATTCTGTATGATTTTTTTGCTTTGAAGTCGTCAATAGTGTCAGTTCAGTTCGTTTGTTTGCAAGTGGATTTTTTTTGTTACAATGACGTGATCATATTTTAAGAAAACAAAGTATACCTTTTTGCCATTAAAAGCGGTATAATATTATTGTTTACACTTCTTCAGAGTGTTGTGATTACAGTGGCAATATAGCCCGAATGCCTCTTACTCTGTGCAATAATTTGTTTTAAACAAACAATCGACACTTTCTTGCCAACGAGTTTCAGTCAGAACGGATTGAAGCTTATAAAAGGATGATGAATGACTTGCATTATTACTTTTTTCTTCTCTTCAACATCAAGGAAATCAGATCATCAGGTTGCAATAATAAGGAGTCAAAAGAGGTAAGACTTTAACATACGTCAATCAATGTCATCCCCCAACCTAAACGTATGTCTTTCAGTAACAAAAATAATTTATGTATGTTTGATCATGATTTAATCAGATGCCAACCAATATCAATGCCAATTTTTCAACTATCAAAGAAATACCATCGGCACCGGTCTCATCGAAACTGTGAGTAATTTACACTTTTCATGCAAATTGACTTTAATAAATGTGGGATATTAATTCAGTATATGGATTTTGGGAGGAGTCTTGCTGATCACGATTGTTGGAGTCACGGTTATGGCTACCCTACTGATCATGTTCGTAGGCAACCAAAGTAACAGCACTGGTACTAATGCGACTGGTAAGCCATGAAGCTTTTCTCATATGACCTTTAAAGTTGTACTGTTAATAAACAATTCAAGAGAAAGCATTTTAGACTAAACAAATATGTCGAAATTTTGGCGAACAGTTTATAATTCAAAAACAGAAGATTTTGTTACACGGTCACTATATCGTTTGCCGTTTATGAGAATTGAGTCATGCTTAACAGAGCTCGAACAGTTTTACGAAAGCTTTCTGAAGAAGTAGTCTAAGAAATTTTCACATATTTAATAGTCTGAAGTTTTCAGTTAAGAAAAATGCATATATTAGTCTTGCATTAAATCTATATAAAAAGGCTTTGTCTATCCGTACAACATACGTATTGCTCATGCATGTTTTTCAACTACTTTGCTCTTTCTTTATCTCTCTCTACAACATTTGAGAAAGTATGTATTGCCCATGTGATTCAATTCGGACGAGAATCATCAGTTGATCGGTCGATGTGATAGAAGTTGTCCTGTTAAATTGCATGTCCCAATGAGCATCTTTCCTTTGTCAACTGAAAAAAGGTTGACAATTTATGCTCTCTTTTTCTGTTCTCACTTTGTCGACCTTACTGATCAGATGAATTCTATCGCCAGTATATTGAACTACCACGGTATATTGCTGGTAGTTCATATAATCGTACGACATGAGTGGATAGAAAACTGAAGAAAGAAATCAGAATCAAACATAGTTTATAAAATAATCTGAATGTTCCATTCTGCAAGAATAAAGATACAGAAATGCGCAAAATGAAGAGATGAACCAGTTCTGCCAACCTGGTCTGATGGCCTGAACTTACAATATCACTTCTGATTAGAAGTGATATTGTAAGTTCAAAATACTTTGATAAATGTGTTAAAGTTAAAGTTCTACTTCAGACTGTCAAATCAAAGTTAAAATGTCACGCTTTAACTCCTTAGATGATCATTCCTCAGAAGCCATGATTTCTACCATTTCATGTTAGTCTTGACGTACATGGAATAGTAAATATATTACTTCATTTCACACCGTGATAAATGACAGTAGTATATATTAATGATACCAACTTATCTCATCCTTTCTAGTTTAGCTTTAACTACGAAAGTTCGAAGCATACTTAACTCTGAACGTGTAAGTTCCTCAAAATACCACATATACTCTTGATGATAGATGGTCCTTATTCATTAATTTATTTTTTGCTTGTAATTTTACATGATCTTATAACTGAGCTAAAGTGTGCTATAATAGATAAAGAGAACAAGCACACAACAAGAATCGGGCTGATTAGTGGTGCAATTCAACTTGCTATCATTCAGTAGACGAAGAGAAAAAGTTAATGTTTCTAATTGACATTAATAATATTTTCTGTTTTTTAGTTTGTATGATTTTGTTTCTGACGATACATATTTTTAAAATATTGTGCAGCAATACTTCTGTAATGACAACTGACAGGCAGCATAGTTCTTCGCATAGATAGAACTGTATTTTTTGCGAAATTCTTTATGTTTTGATTTTTTATTTGGTGAAAGAGCTTGTAATTTTATCATCTTAATTGAAAACGACTGAATATATGATTGAAACTAAAGTGAGAGAATAAGGAACATATCTGAGGCGTATTATGCAATTGTTTTTATAAATGCACTAAAAAAGTTCAATAAATATAGTCTATTCTCTCAGCCGCCTGCAGACCAGGATAGGCCGAAAAAAGTGGCCTGTTGGCAGCTCTGAGATGAACTACAATTAATCATGGCAATGACGAATGTCCGTAAAATATGATGATAGCTAATACTGAGAAAGGAGAAAAATCGCGCCTCTACGGAATTACATTATTTCTGTGACTGACTATATCAAGGTATATATGCGTGATAGTAGTAAATATTTTAACGATTATTGATGCATTTTGAATCTGTTTGTCTGCTCGAATGTCGGAAGACGCTTACTACCTTTGATTGTCTATATAGATGCAGCAAATAATACAACTAGCACAATTTCAACGACACTTTCAATGTCGTCTTCAAATGGCTCTATCAATACCACGACGACGAGTGTTCATGGTAAGACAAAACAATAGAAATTAGTTTGTAATTCGAGTCTAGTGAATCGTAATGATATGCTTGACTTGTAGATACATGCTTAATCGTGTGCTATTAGTACACAATTATCTATTGTGAACAAAGAGAGCCAAAGATCGGACCGAGTAGAAAAAAAGTTGATGATTGCTGAAATTAGTCGCAAATGAACATATTCTTGCGTATGCATATTTTGAATGCAAGCAAGAAAACAAGAACAAAGAGCATGCATAATTGATTTTTCTGATCATGAAAAATGTTGATCTTAGTATCGTTGAGTTTTATAATACAGTTGATCGAAGAAAACAAAATAACCAGCAATGAAATGTGATCTCAGTAAAAAATCAGCAGTATATAGAATTTGTTCTAGCTTTACGTTGAAACGCCAAACTTTATAATTCATAATACTTAATTTTAAATTTTTCAATGCGATTTGATTAGGTTTACGTTGGAATTCATCGGGAATCGATGTGGCATCAGGTCAAGTTTTGTTGCCAAACGGTTTATATGTGATTTTATTAGGCACATTGTTTATTGCGGATTCCGGAAACAATCGCGTACAAAGATTGGCAGCCAATGCAATCAGCAGTACTACGGTGGCCGGATCATCTGGTGGATCTTCCGGCACCAGCGCCAGTCTCATGGACACCCCAAGCGCGGTTACGGTGGATGCAAGTGAAAATGTGTATGTTTGCGATATGTACAATCATCGAGTTCAATACTGGGCCAATGGAGTCTCGTCTGGAGTTACCGTCGCTGGAACTGGTAAGCATGTTCATTTATTTTCTCACATATCGATATCATATTCGGTCGTATTTCTTAATCGAAGATGCGTATAAGAGATCGTTTTTCAGGGGGGGAGGGGGGAATTAAAAATGAATTTGAGCTAAAATATCTGTCAAAACAGTAAGGTTTTGTAATTGAATTAGTTAAATGAAACTTATACGCGCAATGCATATACGTTTCAAAAAGCAAAATACAATAGAAAATCTTTTTTATTGTCTCGGAAAATCAAATACATTTTACAACAACGACCACCGACTAGATTTAAACT